CAATAAACAGACATATTGACATACCATCATATATTCACAACTAAAGAAAAAGCCACTCAGCGAAATGCCACTCAGCGAAAAATCTCTCCCCTACTTGTACCCAGTTCTTAAGTGCTCATCTTTTGCGTCCGCCATTACTCCAGCTAGATAAACTGGCCGGAATGTATATAGATTAATATTATGGAAGAGTTGTTTTTCGAAAGTTTGACAAATGTAGATTCACTAATGGACAAAATGTTTAATGCCATCCGATAGAATACCAAGCATATGAGGTGAGAAACAGTTTTGTTGTAAAATACGTTTGTCAAATATAATTTTACGGGTTTTATAGTTTCTTGCCTTGAATTTTATGCGAGATCCATGTTTAGAACGTCTCTTATATTGAACGGCAGTTGCCTAAAATTTATAATTTAGGACAAAGATAATAAATATAGTTAGTGTGATTCAATTTCTGTACTTTCTAGTAAAGAGTTTCCTAATAGAATGGTCAATGGATTTGTTAGAAGCGATAAAACGACCTACTTTGCGTAAAGAACGTTCTTTAGATGAAGACGTTATTAGTATAGAATTTGGACTAAACTAATTTATATTTGATGCTTGAATCGGGGCTTTTTATTTGCACTGTAGCTTGTCTGTATAATTGTAATTGAAATTTTCTATTTGTAATTGTATATTGAGTTCCTGTGGCTATCATATCTGTCAAATTTGTATTTACTTACAAATAAAGATGTTTTTTGTTGTCTTACTTTTAATAAACAATATATGAAATTACAATTATTTAAAGAATGAAGTTATTGATAAATTGTTTCAATTAAATTAACAACTTTGTCATTGTGCCAAACATTTGTCAAGCTCCTACAGCTTAGCTCTTCACTTGTGAGTTGTGACCAACAATTGTATGTGAAAAATGATTAGAATTATGTTTGATTCACCACATTGATCAACCAGCAGAGAGAAATTATTGCAACAAAGGGCTCAAACAATTAATTTTTGCTAAAATTCATAAACTTCATTCAATAAATTAAAATTTTTAATGTAAATAATCATGTCACAAACAGATCTTAACGTGACAAAAACCAGTTATAGTTACTCGTAATGTTTACCAAAAAGTGATACACAGATACACCAGAAAACTTTTTTAAAACATTTGACAACAGGGGAAACTGTGCCAAGCCAACACCAATCCAATTCACAAAAGCATTCAGGAAGCTTTTTTATGTTCACTTCTCACATCATCAATAAGCATCTATGTGAAATATATAAATAATCTCCTGATTGAATTTAAAAAGGCAGAAATAACAAAGTTAAGTCATGTGGACCATATGACAGTATATGTTTTACAAATTGCTATTCAAGCACTCTATTGGTGGACCAACATGCTGCTGCTTATGTTCCTACTTGCTCAAAAAGTCATTCAAGCTTCACAAGTCCCAACTGTGGTGAATACATAATATTTTGGCATCAGACAATCTTCATAGTGGCCATACAGCCTGTGACAACTTTGGTCTAACCATCAGTACCAAGAAGACAGAGGTCATGCATCAGCCTTCTCCTCGTACACACTACACTGAGCCTACCATACTGGTGAATGGACAGCGTCTGCAGACAGTTGACAAATTCACATATTTAGGGAGCACTCTTTCCAGAGCCGTGACTATTGATGCAGAGGTGAACAACCGGATCGCCAAAGCCAGCTCCGCATTTGGCAGGTTGCGCACAAACGTTTGGGAGCGTAGAGGGATCACCACTGCAACGAAACTGAAGGTCTACTCTGCCATAGTATTACCAACTCTCCTTTTTGCATGTGAATCCTGGACTGTTTACCAGAGGCATGCGAGACAGCTGAATCACTTCCACACAACCTGTCTCCGTCGGATATTGAGAATCAAGTGGCAAGACAAGGTGCCAGACACAGATGTCCTCTCTCGATCCAACCAGCCATCCATCTACACCTTGCTGATGAGAGCACAGATCCGATGGGCGGGCCACATTGCTCGCATGCCAGATGAGCGGATACCTAAGCAACTGCTATATGGTGAGCTCTCCAACGGCAAAAGATCAGTCGGAGGCCAGAAGAAGCGGTTCAAGGACACATTAAAGACCTCACTGAAGTCCTTTAACATCAACACCGCAACATGGGACAAACTTGCAGGGAACCGATCAACCTGGCGCGATCTCATCTTTAAGGGCTGTCAAGCATCAGAAGAAAGGCGGACTGTGGATGCCAAACAGAAACGTGAGCTGCGGAAATCAAGAGCAGCCAGTGCTTCAACATCAGATGCATCTCTGGTTTGCCCTTCGTGTTCAAGAACATTCCGTGCAAAGATTGGGCTCATTAGCCACCTCAGAACTCACCGTACCCAATCTTCTAGTACTTGAGTTAACTGGTCAAGGTCATCATCGCTTGCGATGGACGAACAACATGCTTATGTTCCTACTTGCTCAAAAAGTCTTTCAAGCTTCACAAGTCCCAACTGTGGTGAATACATAATATTTTGGCATCAGACAACCTTCATAGTGGCCATGCAGCATCGCTTCTGATATTTTAAAACACTAGGGTAGACAATTTTGGTGATTCGAATGTCCTGCCAAACGTTCTTTGCAATATATAAACTAGCTGGAGAATAATTTCATTTGTCACTTGTTTCAGCCACGAGCGAGATTTCAAATGTTAGAACAAACATCTTCAAGATTCTCTGCAGAATTCTTATATGATAAAATTAAAACTGACGACAAACCATATACCGAGTACGCATCTCGTCAGACACATATCTACTTTGAAAATATTCCGAATAAACCCTCATTTATCAAAACGGACGTCGAATTAATGGATAAATTGTTGAAAGCTTGATGTGTTAAGTGTATACACACAAAAAATATTAAAAAAATGGCCAATCTATAGAAATATTTGGGTTTATTTGCCAAAACACCATCCGTAGAACTAAATATTATATTACGATCTGGCTGCACTCATCTGGCTGGAAACATGGCCGCCGTTTCAAATACCCGAAAACAGGGGACACGAACATCAAAGGTTGCGACATCGAGTGGCATTTCTGTTATGTATCTATTCTGTGCTAATAATATTAACACCATCACATTCACAATACACCAAAAGCCATAGCAACGCATTCCACACCATCCAATCATATTAATCCATCCGCTAATAGAATTAGACGCTCTAAACGTCTACAAGCTAAAACAACTGTAAATAGATAATAACTTCCTGATTGTAAAGAAAGCTTGAAGCACCGAGTCGAAAGCTCAATAAAATAATTTTACAAAATCAGGAGAAACTTTCATTTTTATAAATAGCTATATATAATAGCTATATAAAATAGCTATATATTTTTTTACGCTCTGCTCTCGGGCATCGAGCACTGTTTTATACGGAGAATCATCAAATATAAACTTCCTAATAGCTATATATATGTCCGAGCTATTACACGCTAAAATAAAATTAGCTACTCAATATACGATAAGCAAGCAGTGCTTTTCTGAAGTAATATACATATGAAAAAATTTCTAAATTCTAATTACTAATTTTAAGTAGATTTTATTTGGCAACCGAGCGATAGAATTTAAAGACAGTTCCAAAAATACAAGCACTGCTAAATATAGATAGCTTGTTCTGGCTTCATGTTTTGAAGCCATAGGGTTTCAAAAAAAGTATCTGACGGAATTGAAAAACACTACCCGGTGATATTAATTCCTTGCCAGCAAAAATGTAGCTGCCTACGGGCGTTAAAGTTAAAAATCAAAATAATTGACATATTTTTTTGTGTATTTTGAATAACTAATAACATAACTTCTCGTATAATTTAGAAAACAAGCACTAGTGTGTTTTTAAAGACTTCAAATTGCACTCGTCCTTCAGACTTGCGCAATTTTGATATTTGAAAAACTCACTCGAGCATGTTTTTTTCCAAATTGCACTAGAAACCATACTATTAGCTATCTAGAATAATAATATACATGAAAAAATTTCTCAATTCTCAATGGTTTAGAGGAGTGCAATTTATCGTAAATACCTATGCAAAAATAGGAAACACAGTGCAAAAAAAAGGAAATACAATGCAATTTATTTTTGAAAAATGCGCTCCTGGTTGGTTAGTCAAACAGAAATAATCTCAGAGCCGTCAACATAAAATATTTCAAAAGCGGGAAAGTTAAATTATTGTAAACAAAGCAATTAAAACGGCTGACATAATTTACGAAGACGAGATTTACTTTAGCGAAGGATTTTACAGTTCACCGTTTGCAAAGTGTTTCTGGATGAAAATAACAACACTGCTAAAAGTAGATACCTTGTTTTAGCTGCGTGTGCGGAATCAAAGTGTGAAAAGTAATATTATACGGAATTGAAAAATACGAGCCGGCCTATCGATGGTTAAACTCGCCGGATGAAATGTACGTACGATGAAGTTAAAAATCCACAAATTGAGAATTTTTTTCATGTATATTATTAATAAGTAATAGCATTGTTTCTTGTGCGATTTGGGAAACAAGCACTCAGAGCCTTTGACTATGAAGATGACTACCGCTAAGGTTGTCGAAACGTCAGTCGACAACAACAAAAACAGTCCTTCTCAGGATTATACCAACCTGGACGATTTACATTTACAAACATGTAACTTCAAATTTTGATAGTCTTTGAAAAACTCACTCGTGACATGTTTTTCCCAAATTGCACTCGAAACCACGCTACTACCTATAAAAATTCTTTGACATTCTTACAGCGTATCATTGCATTATCAAAAGAGAAATTTATAACCTATATTTCATAACGTCTTAGTAGATCACAAACAAGCAAAACCAAAAATATTTGTAGATGTGAAATAACAGGGGGCCAAAATGACCAGTTAGGTAAAAATGTATTTTGAGCCCTGTTTTTCTAATTGGGCGATCTTATTTAATGTCGTTTCCAGGGCTATTTGCTGTTGCCTTTAAATTGACAGAAAAAAGAAGATTGGGAAAACGGTCATTCTTTCATCACTTACCTGTCTGGATAATGCTGCAGATAAACGGCCAAAACCTCTTGCGATACATCATAATAGTCCAGTTTGTAATAACACAATGCGACGTAACAATTCAAGGCAAAATAATCACTATAAATTTGTTCAATTATGGACATTAACAATTCTCAATAATAAAAGGTGTATAAAAAAAGTAGACTCTTGGAAAAAATGTTCTAAGACAAGACGCACGCAGAATAAGCCAAAATGTTTGGTTTTTTCTATGTACTTTAACGTTCTCTAGCACAGATGGTAAAAAAATTTTTTAAAAAGAAAAAAATCGTTGTTAAATGTCTTCAAAGAGGCCTTGCCCACGAAAAATACTCATCGGAAAAACAAGTCAATCTGTCAAAATATGTGTCAAAACCTGAGTCAAAATATGGACTGTGTATGTTGTACAAGCTTTTAAAATTTCAAACAATTTGGGGCAACCGCTGTCCAACGCAAGAACTTTTAAACTTGGATTTTTTCCATTTATGCCTTTTGAAACCAAGTAATGTTACATAATTTCGAATTAATTATAAACATTTCGGAAATTGGCATAAAGCACAATATAAAATTAGCAATCCAATTCTCAAAGATGTAAATGTACCAAATGTAAATGTACCAATGTGATTTAATGTTGCTGTCCATATTCACACAATTTGTTTTGGTTAATTTCTGCAATTGTCTTGGCAAAGGAAGACGAGAGGAAAAGACAGTATTCATTAAATGACAAATAAAGTTTACAGTTGAGATTGGAGAAACTGAAGTTAGAGGAAGAGCAAAAGTAGTTCATAGTTTGTTGAACATAAAACACGTGCTGATTTTTACAAAGAATATAAAAAAAAATTAACAACCAAATTAAAACCTTCTAGAACATTGTAGTCAACGAAGATGGTGTGTGCCATAATTTGACTCCCAGCTATAATACTACGCGGACACAATCATATTTTCTAAAACTACTTGCCGATTATCCAGCAAAATTCTTTTGTATATATCAATTGCCTCTTGGTAATGGCTACGAAGATAATGAATTGATGCCAAGCTCAACTAAAAATAAAAAGGAAATTTAAATGAATTTTCGTTAACAACACACCAAAAGTCAGGTACAACACATATGCTAATAGTAATTCATATAAAAACAGATTAAAAGTATATCAACCAACCTGGTCTTCAATGATATCTTGTAATTGTTGATGGTAGCTCATCAATCTCTTTTCATCATTAAACTGTACGTCAGATAGCGAAAAATAAAATGATCAAAGCAAGGTTCGCAAATAACTGTGAAGCTTGGCTCTGATTAATTGCAAAACAGCCAAATGTTTAAGAAAACAGTCACCCCAGTAAGAATTTTGACAATGCATTTCCCACTCTCGTAACAAACCCCTTCGCACTAGTTAAATAGATGCGGTGTTCTTGAAGCGTGATGTTCAAATGAAATATCAAACTTCACTTTTTTTATATCTATCAAAACATAATAACAAGCACAATTCGTAGGATTAGTGCCCCAAGGTAATAATTACGTATTTTTATAGATTTGTCATGTTCTCCCTGGCAAGGAAAAAATTTGCATTTAAAACGATGTCATGTAGGACTTTAACAAATTCAAATATTGGTGCATAGGTAACAATTTAATGCATGTATATAAAACCAACGCAAATAATTAGTTTTTGCGTTAAGTTAAATGTGATTGCCGTCTTTATATAATAATGATGATAATAAAAATAATGCTTGTAAATGTAGATCGTCCAGGTTGGTATAGTCCTGAGAAGGACTGTTTTTGTTGTTGTTGACTGACGTTTCGACAACCTTAGTGGTAGTCATTTTTACAGTCAAATGAGGAGTAAACGTCAGGTTAGCCGTATTTGTTATCTGGTTCTTACGTCATTATATTGTGTGTACAGGAAATGTGTATTGCCATTGTAAATTAGTGTGAAGTGAAATGTTTTTAGTTGTGATGTGTGATTTAGGTGTGATGTTTTTGGTTGTAATGTGTGGGTGTCAATTGTGTATTGTCATTGTGAATTAGTGTAATGTTTTTAGTGTGAAGTGTAATGTTTTTAGTGAAGTGTAATGTTTGTCAGTGTAATGTTTGTTTGTATTGTGAATAAGTCGTTTGTAAGGTGCCGGTAATCTCTGTGATCTGTTCAGGGGGGGTTTGTTCCAAGTTGGTATACCAACTTTCTAATGTAAGCCGTTGTCTATAGTCAGTACTGTAAGTAATGCATTCTGCCGAGTCCCAGTCAATGTTGTGCTTTATGATTCGGTGATGTTTGGCAATGTGATTAGTTTTGTCATGTTTTTTAGTAGCTCATTTGTGTTCAGTAAATCTTATGTTTAAGATCCTGCCAGTTTCCCAATATAGGAGGCGTGGCAGTCAAAGCAGTTTATTTTGTAAACTGCACCTTGTCGTTCGTTGGGTTGTTCTTTGTCCTTTATGTTCGTTAGTACTTGTCGTAACGTTGTGATTGGTTTATGTGCGACACGTATGCTGTATGGTCGTAAGATACGCGAGATATAGTCTCAGACGTACCTTTGATGTAAGGTATCGTTGCTGTTGTCACTGAGTTGTTCGTTTCGTTTCCATTTACTTTAATAAAAATAATACCTTGTGTGAGAGATGGAAAAGAAGACGGTTTTGACCACGACTGCTAGGTCCTGTATAGTGAATAAAATATGGTAACAACAAAGGCACAAAAAGTACTTTTGCTCATTGAACAGTTCCACGGAAGGCAATATTTCAAATAAAATATTAGCAAGCTCTCACGTACAACATTGGCATTGTGATTTTATCACCATCACTACTATCTCTTGTAATTCAATGGAAAAACTTAGTTACTAAAACGCTCTTATATAGTGATTATTGCCGAAGATCATCACAGTGCCTATTAAAATATTAGCAAGCTCTCGTGTACAACATCGCATTGTGATTTTATCACCCTCACTACTATCTCTTGTAATTCAATTGAAAAACTTAGTTAGTAAAACGCTCTTATATAGTGATGATTGCCGAAGATCATCACAGTGCGTAGCAAACTGCCACTCATAATGAAAATGAAAGCCATTTTAGTGAATGATAATCAGACTAAATTAAAGACCTTTTAACGCAGCTTCATCTGCTTCTTTGTACATTCCCAAAAAGAAATAACAGCATGCGATATTCATCCAGATATCTGATGGTACTGAATCGCTCTTCGACAATTGTTCGTATTCCTACCACAGAGAATAATTCATATCAAAGCAATAAGTCACGTGCGAGATAGAATCGAGGCGACAAATTACCTATAATGTATTCACCAGTTTATTACCTAGTTTTTTGAGAAACAGTAAACTTGTTTCGGCAAACTTATGCCATCTTTAGTGGGGTATAATGAATAAATATTTGAATGGAGTTAATATATAAAGAAATCTGATACAAGACATGAGTATAGATAAAAGGGATGGAAGCGGAAGTTATTTACAATTATGCAGAGATTAGAGGTGTTAAGATTTAACAAGTTAAAGATAGTATTGACATGCTGAATTTGTTTGTTAAGATTAGGCTGGAGTTTTTTCATGTACAGTGCTTCTTTTAGTTTTAAAGAAGAGTGTGGACACTGTCTAAAATACGAAAGCAGGATTGTGAGTATTTAGATTTGCAGTGAGGTGATGAAAGGAGGTGTTTGAATATGTGAGAGTTTTTATCGGAAGTGGTATGCTCTTCAATCCGTGTGGAGAGGTGGCGGCTGGTTTCGCTAATGTAGCGAGAATTACATCCCGCACAAGAGAGTTCGTAAACCACATTGGATTTTAAGAGGAAATGGATGGGGTCTTTGAAGCGGAAGAAGTTTTTGATTTTAAAAGAAGAGAATACTAGTTTTATGTCTAAGTTTGTGCAGTAACGTCTGACCAAGTTATGTAGTTTTCGTTTCGTGTTTTGTGAGTAGTGGCCAATGTAAAGTAGCTTGAAGTAATGGACTTGGGGTTTGGCTTGTGTGTGGTCTTGTTCATTGTCAGTTGTGTAAGAGTTAGTGTCGTTGTTATATGTTTTTATTACTTGGTTTATGAAATGCAAGGAATATGAGTCACGTTTTAGAATGTCGATAAATTCGTTTAGGTCGCGTTGATAGCTTGTCTGTATGTTGCTGATTTTTTTAATGCGATGAAGAAGAGTTTTTATGAGTCCTGTCTCGTATGTTTGTGGAGTTAATATAAAAAAATTAAACAAAAGTCCGGTGTATGTTTTCTTTTGGAAAATTGATGTAGTTAAGGTTTTGGATTTAGAGTTTTTAGTTATTTTAGTTATAAGTACGTCTAGGAAAGGTAATTTCTTGTCTTGTTCTTTGTCCAAATTAAATTTAATGTTCTTGTGTTGTTGATTCAGGTAATGGAAAAAATATGAGGCATCGTTTTCGTTATTAAAATTACAAAAAATGTCGTCTACGTAGCGTCTGTAAAAAAGTACGTCAGGTCCGTTGTAGTGTTTTATCCAATTCTTCTCATGGTGACCCATGAAAATATTGGCTAGTGATATTGCTAAAGGGCAACTCATTGCAACTCCGTCGATTTGGTCGTTAAAGTTTCCGTTTAGTAGAAAGTGTGTTTGGCTTGTGGCAATAAGAAAAAGATGTTTGAGGTCATGTCTGTTGATGAGGAGGTTAGGTTGATGTAAGTAAGGTCTAATGCAATGTCAATGGTTTCATTTAGTGGAATGTTGGTGAACAGGCTTTGGACGTCAAAAGAAACTATGTAATTGTTGTTAATATCTTGGTTATGAAGTTTGTCAAAAAAAGTAAAGGAGTCTTTAGTTGTGTAGTCGTTAGGTATGATAGGGTTGAGCAGTTTGCCTAAGTACTTAGCAAGGTTGTAGTTATAAGAATTGATGGAAGAAACTATAGGTCGGAGAGGAGTTTTGTTATCTTTATGTTTGTGTAGTTTAGGAAGACTGTAAAAACGGGCAGGTTGTGACCCTTCGGGGAAAATGCTGGAGTATAAGTAGTCTGTTATGGATCCTTGTTTCTTAAGTTTACTAATGAAATGCTGTAATCTACCTTTTCTTAAAAGAGTGGGGTCATTTTTTAGTGTTTTGAACTTAGACTTGTCATTTAATATTTTTATGCAAGACTTGTTCTATACCGTTTTGTCCATGATTACAACTCCGTTGTCTTTATCTGGTTTTAGTATGATGATGTTCTTGTTGTTGTTGATGTTCTTTAGGATGTGATGTTTTTTCAGGTCAGATGGTGAGGGGCTATATGAAGAGGTGTAGCTTTGTGAAATGTAGATTAATTGGTTCCGGATGTGAGTATAATTTTCTTGATTGTTCTGTTTGTTTGCGATGTTGAGATGGTGCGATCAAATGTTGAAAGCATGTCTGCTTCATTGAGCTTCGGTGGTTTGATGGAAAAATAGAGACCATTTATGAGTATATCGAAATCTTCAGGCTTGAGTTTGCGTGATGATAAGTTTCATTATGTGTGAAAGGAAGTGTTTTTGTTTCTGGTGAGGGATTTAAGTTTCTTCCATTGGTTATGGTTATTGGAGTAGGCTGTTTATTTTGTTACCAACATTCCACTAAACGAAACCATTGACATTAGATTAGACCTTATTTACTTACATCAACCTAACCTTCTCATCAACAGGCATGACCTCAAACAGCATTTCCTTATTGCCACAAACCAAACACACTTTCTACTAAACTGAAACGTTTACGATCAAATCGACGCAGTTGCAATGGGTTCTCCATTACCACCATTACTAGACAATATTTTTATGGGTCACCATGAAAGGAATTGGATAAAACACTACAACGGACATGACCTACTTTTTACAGACGCTACGTAGACGACATTTTTTGTAATTTCAATAACGAAAACGATGCCTCATCTGTTTTCAATTACCTGAATCAGCAACACAAGAACATTAAATTTAATTTGGACAAAGAACAAGACAAGAAATTACCTTATATTTAACACCTCTAATCACTGCATAATTGTAAATAACTTCCGCTTCCATCCCTTTTGTCTATACATATGTTTAGTATCAGATTTCTTTACATATTAATTCCATTCAACTATTCATTCATTATACCGCACTGAATATGGCATAAGTTTGCCGAAACATGATTGCAGTAAAAATTTTTAAAAAAGTTGTCGTTTACGTTAAATACATCATTTTATTCGTGCTATTATGAAATTATGGAAACAGTAAACTGTTTGCCACAAGTAGAAATTATTGTGTATCTACCACAAGTATAACGACATAAGCAAAATTTACCATGCACGTGTATGACCAGTGATCACCGCCAAAATTAGAACATGACATTCGGCAATGCGAACATCACACTCTGATGTTGGCTTTGAAATAAAGTCGAAACACGGTGACATCCAATAAACTGTTATAGTGGCGAGAATCTCTCGTCCATACGCAGTTTTAAAAGAGATTTGACTCCTCTCTAATCCCTGTGGGCTTGGTAGCTCAACAGGTAGAGCGGCGGACTAGTATCCCGAAGGTGCGAGTTCAAATCTCGTCCATGTCACATGTTTTTCATGTGCATATTAAAAACCGTGTTAGGATTAATATATTATGTATATACTCTGATGATAACATGACATTCGGCGATGCGAACATGACATTCAACGATGCGAAGAAGAGCCATATGAACACACGGTAACAGCGGATATGCGTAACATGAGTAGTAATGCGAACACAAAGTTCTTTGTATCAGCTGTGATGGAGAAAGAACGATATAATAATACTTCATGTCCTGATTAAGAATAAAAATAAGTTGACAAAAAATTGGAAACTTGGCTTCCAACACTATTGTAATACTTATTTTTTTGAGTTTTTCCGATTGTATTAATATAATGCCGTCGCCATGAGATTGTCGTATTATAACTTGTAGAAAACGTTGGTTGGATTTTCGCTCTTTCTTTGCTTTTTCATAAAATAGTGTCATTTAATTGCTCTAATAGTTAGAATTGGAAACTCGAAAGCCGTTTTATGAAATGGTAAGTTTGTACTTGTTAAATGAACATTTAAAAACAATACAAGCGATTAATACCTTATTTATGTAACTTTTCATCTTTTACAGTGTTTTGTTCGAACTAAAATTTTATGTTTCTATGGAACAGGAAGATACTAGAAAGATAGTCATTAATCATATACAACAGTCTAGGAAAAAAATTGACCACATCTTAGGAAAAAATTCTGAAGAGCCCCCGGACTATGATTGCTTATCGCTTGGTTGATCATTTTCAACATGTTTTAGTTTGTTCTGATACAATAAGTATACCTGCTCAAGTTCATCAGTTGTTAAGCATGGTTTTTGAAATATTGAAATCATTTGAAGATGATGAGAATGGTGAATATGTTGCACCAACTGTGAAAACTGGTGGGCGTGGACGCATACTATATCACAAAGGACCATCTTCATTTTTTGGTCTCATCAGGATTCAATGTACCACAGATTGTGTCATTACTAAATGTTGCAAAACGAACTATAGAAAGAAGGCTTCACGAGTTCAACATTTCTTTGAACACTACATTTTCATAAATAAGTAATGATGATTTAGACGCTGTTGTTAGAGATATTCTGAATGAATTTCCAAATGTGGGTAGCATACGACTTCAAGGTTTCATAAGAGAAAGAGGATATAATATCCAGCAGCACCGTGTTAGAGAAGCACGGCCATGAGTAGATCCTGAAGGTGTTTCATTACGAGCTATCGAAGTAAATGTCATTAAAAGGAAACCGTATAATGTGAAGTCTCCTTTATCACTGTGGCACATCGATGGTTATCAAAAACTGATCAGGTAAGGAATTTTCTTTACTATTAGTTATTAACACTCATAAATTTAAGCATGTGATACTTTTAATGGTTTCTTTTAGGTGGAGGTTTGTGATTCGTGGAGGCATTGATGGTTTTTCGAGAAAAATCGTTTACCTGGAATGCCATACGAATATTTACGCAAACACAATTTTGAACGCATTTCTTTCTGATGTCCTTCATAATAGACTTCCTTCGCGCGTTAGATCTGATAAAGAAGGAGAGAATGTAGCTGTTGCTTAATATTTACTGGAACATCCTGAACGAGGAAGTGGAAGGGGGAGTATGATCACTGGCAAGAGTGTGCACAACCGGAGAATAGAACGTCTTTGGAGAGATCTCTTTTCTGGTTGTGTTCATACGTATTATAATCTGTTTTATAGGCTAGAAAAGTCTGGTATACTAAATTCTGATGACGACATCAATTTGTTTTGCTTACACTATGTATAGTTGCCAAGAATAGCGCAGTCTCTCAAAACCTTTACTGAAGGATGGAATATTCATCCCATAAGTACAGAAAGTAATCTTACTCCAAATCAGCTATGGATAAGTGGTTTTCTTTAAATAGCTAACAGTAGTAACAGAATTGCTCGAGATCTTTGGAAAACAGATGTACGTATTTTGTGATTATGACAAGCTGAATATTATGTTAGTACAATATTCTCAGTTTCACACATAACGAGCCAATTTTCGATTTAGGTTAGCATATCCCCCTCTAGGCATACGGTGCGCGTTCAAAAATTTTTCTTGCACCAAGGGTGGGGAATTTGATCATATAAAAACGGAATGAGGCACGCCCAGAGGGATGTTACAGATACGTTGCATGGGGCATAACTAATGAGTATTAACCACAGTCCACTTGCATTTAAAGTGCACATACAGTTATTTTTAGTTTTTTATTCTCAAATAGATTTTGGATAAATAATACAAATGCCGTTTACAGAATTGGAATAACTTTTTTCGTTTTTGAGTTATCTTTCGGCAAAGATGCGAATAAAACCTAAATTTCAACGTTGTGTAAAAAATGTCGAGAGCTCTAATCCGTGGCATGGGACTTACTTGTGACGTCATTTAAGGAACACAGACTGACTTCCAATACAACTTACACTGTTTATGCATGTGAACAAAAATGCCAGATCGATGTGTAGTTTTTGGTTGTTCTAACGTAGCCAGTTTGGAGAAAGGCATTTCACTTCATCGCATACCATTTTTTAACGACGAAAGAAGCGAAGCTAAGCGTAGGAGAAAGCGATGGGTCAACTTTGTGAAAGCTACTCGCGATAAGTGGGTCCCCACAAAGAATTCCGCAGTTTGCTCGGAACACTTCACAAAAGATTCGTTTTCTCGGCAATTCGGCTCGCTTTCTGAATCAGAAAGTAATTTTGCACCTCGACTCATTCGAGATGAATTCGGAATCGTTGCTTACCCGAGCATTTATCCTCGAAAAGATGACAATGAACTTACAACAAGAGATCGCAGAATGGTGAGTACGTTAAAATTATACATATGCATATCTACATTTTACCTGGAATCTGTGTGAGAGTATATTTCATAAATACATGCCATTTTAAATCTAAAAAAATTCTTGTTGCTATTAAAAAGAAATATTATGTGTTTAATAATCTCTTATTCATTGCCTTGTCTTTAGATTCTATATCATACAATAAGATGTATGCAACTTTAACTAAACCAAGGTTGATTGCTGGAATCGTTAAAGCTTCTCCAATGTCTCAAACAAGTGCATTGGAGGGATTTCACTCAGTTCTTAACCAGTTTGCACCCAAAATGATAAGCTACTCTTTTCCTGGGATGTTCTGCAGGTATTCTATGAAACATGTGTGATGAAACACCAATGTGTCATTACAGTTTTTATTCCCTTGTGCCAATTTAAACTTTTTCAAGAAATTGAATGCAATTTTATATTTCATGAAGGCATATCCTTGCTGTAACTCACTTCAACGGCAATTTGGACAGGGATAATCAAGAGGTTAATGGAGTTCTCCAGGTTAAAGTGCATTATCCAAAATTTAAAAATGGTGAAGCTGTTGTAAGAAATGTAAAAGTTGCTCAGGATTTTGGTAAAGTTATTTAATACATTTCTCCTACTGCCAGATATCATGTGTTTAATGCCATAATAATGAAAGCCTTAATAAGAAATGATTACCATAAAATGAAATTTTGAATAATTTGCACATTGCTCCTCCAGGGTATGTTGAAGATAATTATCAAGTGTTGTGCTCTGCACTCATTGATGAGGAAACATTGAGAAAAGCCAAAGGTGATCTTTTACAAATGACTCCATTGCCAATGAATTCCATGTTGGACAAGCAATCAAAAAGTGAAGCTATCTCAAAAAAAGCAAGAAGAAAAAGCATGCCAGCTGTACATTTCCCCAACTAAGCCAGGTTTTACAAAGGCATTACTTGCTTTGAGTTAATTTGAATCTTATTTTGGAACTGACTCACTTTATTGTTTGATATAGCTGAAGTATCACCTGTCCAAGAAATAATCACTAATCAGAGAAATGAGAGAGCAGCACCTCGATGCACTGTGTACAAGAATTGGATGAAAGGCCATAAAAATATAATGAACTGTCCAAAAAACCGAAAGTAACCAGTTTTTTAGGACCTGGTGGTATGAGCCCAGTTAGTTGGGATTCAGTGAAGTGTGAATTGACTGCATGGACAGAATAAAGAGAAAGGAATTGTAATTTTGTATGTTTTGTATAACAAGTATAAGTGTGAATTGAAGATGCAATAAATCAAGAGTGGCTTAAATCATTCCACACTTCACTGAATCCCTACTAGCTGGGCTCATGCAAACAACACCTAAAATAATATATAATGTTATGTTATTTTACAAATTGTCCTCTTCATACCCTGCAAAGTGTTCATTTTTTTTAAATTAAAAGTTTTTCAAATAACATGGTAAGCACAAGCTGGAAGTGGAATTCTTTTGTCTCGAAGAATGCCATGTACCATTCTTGTAAATTGTCTATATGCAACAACTCGAAAAAACCTGAAAAGGCATAATACACAAGGTCCAATAAAACAGGTAGGAGTCCATAAAATACAAATTTTGCAAGTGTGCATTCATAGATAACCCAGACAGAAACATTTAACTAATAATTCTAACAAACCTTTGCTCCAAGAATCCTTTATGATATCTAACTCCATCTTGTCTTTGGTAAAGATTGGCAGCTCAATTTAATGCCCATCGATTGAGGCAAATGGCATCAAATCCTGGATGCTCTGTTATGCATTTTGGCTGCCTTCCTAATTCGGATACCACCATATGATCTTGCATTTCAATCATGCAATTGGCAATTTCGTGGCAGCATCTACATTCTTTTGGATTAACCAAGAGAGGAACACGGCAGTTACCACAATGGCACCTACGAAAGTTATCTGTCAAAAGCTTCGGCAACAATAAATAAACAAATTTTCCAACTTTTCTTACCAAGAATCAAGAGGAACTTCATTTTGCATTCTGCGTTCGAGCTCTTCTGTTTGGCGTCTTTCTTCTTCTGTTTCTCTAATATACTTTTCTAACCACTCTTCATCTGCAAGTGGTTCGTTTTCATACGCTTCAGCTTGGCCATACTCAAAATCGCCATCGGTGTTTCGGAGCGCATTTGATGACGATTGATCTTCGTCTTCTAAATCGAATTCCCGACTGTTCAATTCAATATTTTCCACTGTTGTTGCTGTACTCGACTCAGAATCAGATGTCGACATGTTTCGTAAAATTTTTATATTAATTTCAAAGCAATATATAAAGAATTGTTATTTCACACTATGTTGTGTTGTATGCAGCGCATTCATACGTTCCTTAAATGACGTCACAAACCTCTCGTTTTAAGTCCCCTAAGCGGCGCGGAAATTTCTCAAAAGCAAGGTAATTCAAACCGCAAAAAAACTTTGTTTTTTCTTTTTTTACGAAATTTTTTTCGAAATCATATTTTCCACAGTCTAAACTTTAAAATTTCAACGAATTTGGAAATAACTGTATGTGCACTTTAACATAGATTCGAAGGTGATTCCAGTTTGTTTACTCCTATGGAATAGAAAGCTTTACGTTCTTGTTGTATAGGAATTTTATGGAGTCGACTGGAATGGCCTAATCTCAAGTAACTCAGATAATGTCATAGTTGATGTTCCTCAAGCAATGAACCCGTTAACTGATGTGGAGTTCAGTAATTTGAAGAATGTGGTTGATCCTCTTCATCCGAGTAGTACTCTTGGAGCAGATGTCTTTATGCAGTGAAAGCAGTATGTTCATGACAGATCTTTTGCCAACTGATGTCAAACATTGCATGATGTTAACCGTTTCTATAACAAAACTATGAAGGAAAAATACGCTATGCAACACAATTTGTTGTCGAGAAAAGTGTACTTTTTGGCGTTTTTTCCATTTTTTATATACATATTTACGCTCTGCTCATTCTGCACTGTGACACAGAATGAAAACAAACTTCCTTTACATATCATGATGTTAAATGCGTGATGCAGAGTTTTTTGGCGAAGCAAGAGGGGGTACAGTAAGGTTGGATGTGCAAAACTTAAGAAGATTAAGAACAGGGATGTCGCCACCTAGAACAGGAATACGCTCTATAACAAAAGTACGGATGTTAATTCAACAAAAGTGCATTTAACAAATCACTTTCGAGAATATAAATGTAGAGAAATGTTTTATAAATTTCTTTTTTATTTTTCTTACCAGTAAGACATTCTGACTCCTTCACAAATCGAATCAAGTGTAAGCACGCTTGCCTTTCTTTGTCATCCTTTTGATTTGATGTTAGGAATGATACAAACTTATGTGCTGTTAACTGTGAATTTGCTACTTCATTCACAAAAAACAGTCTCCAACCGTCAAGATTCTTTTGAAGAAACCGCAACAATCCAAAGTGGTCGAGTCCTTCTCGAAATATTTGAAGGGCAGGCAATCGCTTGTCAAAGAGCTCTTCGATAAGAATGCGACTGACAAATTCGAATAGGCATTTCATGTTGATTAAGGATTCCATCGGCCATCCTGAACGATCTATAATAGAAGAAAACCTTGCGTCGTTATACAGAACTGAAATCTCCTCATCATTTATGCAACTCTCAATCTAAAAAATGCATAATGCTATCTCACTGTACAGTATGCTATCTCGATTATATAATGTACACGCGATCGCACTGCTTTTTTGCGGTATTTGGAACAGAGAGAAATTATATTATTAGACTTATCGCGGTGCTTTTACGACGTATGAACAAAAGAATACGGCAGACTTGGTACGCCCTTCACACTGTTGTCTACAAAACACAAGTACATTCTCACCCAGCAACCTACCATTTTGATGAATTCGGTTAAATCAGAATTTTTTGTGGTATTAGGAAGATCTTTAGATGTTATCGCTGCCAATGACTTTTCTTTGTCACCACTAACAATGAACTTGTATACATATTAGGCTAGAGTTGGCATATCCGGGCCTTCTTGCAGGATTGAATGTCCAATCACGAGCCCTGCCATTTGTAGCAAGTATATCTTGTCCCGGCTGTGTATGGGAATGCGGTTTCTAGGTTTTCCTTCAAATAGCAAGTTATCTATGGTTCTGATTAAGTCACTAAAGAACTCAATCCTTATACCACCAGCATCTATAGCATCTTCATACCCTTCAAAAGATATGCTTAAAAGACGAAATAAGTCTTCATCAGAGATGGTCTTGTAAAAACAAACGATCGTTGCCAAATATACTCTAGGTCAAGAAACAGGATTTTCATGTTTTCTTCATCAACTTTTTTTGTGTAATTAAACAAGTCATGATCAATTGTTGTGTCATCTGATGCTGTTGACAATGTATCTGAATAATTAAAAAAAGTATCAAAGTGGTTACGAAACTCGATATGAAAATTACAAACTTTTTTTAACATAAATACGTTTCGTATTTGACAGCAGTTAACATACTTAAAATTAGTTATCTTCAGCATGAATGAGCTAAATATTTACAGTTTTGAATATATATCAGGATATGTTATTCATATGAATTAATAATTTGTAAAAAGAATGAAGTGTTAGAAAAGGCGTCTGACTAAGCGATATTTACATGGCATACACTAAGAGTATGATAAAAACAAATTAAAATAATTACAATGAGAAAATGGTGTTGAAATGTTGAATTTGTTTGCTGAGATCAGTTTGTAAATTTTTTTTCCTTTTACTAATTAATAATTCATGTGTATCATATCCTACTAATCTTCATGATTCATTTACCTAACCGGTACTATTGAGATGATAGGGAAATATTATTATAATTATAATATTTATGTATAAAAATTGTTTATATTACAGCATTGCTATCAGTGACGGACCAATAAAACCAACAAAATTGTCAGAATGGGCATACAGTACAATTTAACTATTGGACTATCTGGGAACAATTCACAATTAGCAATAATATTGTAACTGCGCCTTTTCGTTAACAGTTCTTACAAATAATAAAATAGCAATAGATGCATACATTTGAGTAAAAATCTACATTTGCTACAATTCAACAGAGCAGACTTGAAAACCATTTAGTTTCTATTTAAACATCTAACCTTCATCATTTGAGCCCAGAAGTTTGGAAATTGCATCTTCATAGGAATAATTATTCGTTCTAAGAGTTTCAAGGAGCTGTTTTTCTTCCACATTAGGAAACATTTCTTTTAATTGCTTTGTACCATCTGAGAAAAAGTAACAGATTCATGAATTTGCACAACAATATTGGTGAAAAAGTACTCTTCAACAGCTTGACAGTATAATATTTTGGAACATAACATTATTTTAAAAAATGAAATGAAAGCAAAACTAATGTAAACAAGGTATCATCACAATCCAACTTGTTTTCTTGTATATCAGGTTCATCTTTGATAATAACAAGTTCTTTTTCTTTGATTTTCATCTCACTAGCTCTAAGTTATACCATTAAATGGGAAATTAATCATAGCATGGCTACAGGGCTATGTGGCAACTATTAAATTATACATGATTTTAACAATTAAAGTTGCATTTTCTTGCACTATACATTACTGAACTGATATTGAGTATGCCCAGTGGATATTCCATACTTTCTCATTTCTTGCCAGTATAATATTTTGGAACATGAAAACGCTGTTGTTTTACATTCGATTCTTCATCAATGCTTATATCCATATTGCATGTCAAGCAAAGAACAGTGGGGATGTTGGCCACAGAATACTTATTTACCTTTTATAAGCAAATACAATTTATTAATAAAAAAAAGTAGGTAGCATAGATCTCAATTTACAACCACACAAATATCAGGGGCATGTGTGAATGGGTGCAGTACATAAATATATAGTGTACTAACCTCATCTTCAACATCAGGTAAATCAATGCCTCATCAGAGGCATCATCACGTAAATAAGGAATTAAATACCCATTCTGTCCAGGAGGAATGACTTGAAGCCGCTGATTTCCAGTCGTTCTACAAATAAGATACCTCCCAGCTTGATTTAACAATGGGTATTGACTTTCAAAAACTTGAGTGAGAAACTGATGACTCCTTTTCTTCTTTTTAAAAGTTAATTTTTTCTCTCCAAGCACGCTAGTTTTCAACTTTCCTTTTTCATAAACAGTCGGAGCAACAGATGCGTTTTTGTTGATTAAAGGTTTTTTGTGATTAAAGGTTTTTATTATTCATCTTCAGATTAAAAAGTACGATGAATTTACATTGATTTTCTATATATTAATCATAGTATACTAAGAATTACATGTTAACTTTATTATATATATATTTACAAGATCTAGCAATAAAAGATTGTTTATGACGTTTGGTCCGAGATAAAATACTATAAGTTTTGCTTTTACGCAACTCGTGCGAATTTTCTTTAGGATAAGGTACTAAAAATTGGCATGGATGATCAGGTTTCTCTATAATCCTTTTGATCTCTTGGGTAGTTGCTAGTTCACGTCTGCTTTTCAAGGAGGGCAAGTAGTTTTTATCTAGTTGTAAAATTTTTAAACTTCTTCTTTGTACACGTTCAATTTCTTGCTGTAAAAAATGTGGAAGTCCTGCCCAGACTGCCGATGCATACTCTAATACTGGTCTTATTTTTGATGTATATGTTAATAATCCAACATCTGAAGGTAATTGAGACTTCCTACAAAGTCGAAGATGATATAGTCTTTTATTTGCCTTGCTTGTAATTTGGTGTACATGTTCATTCCATTTAAGATCATTTTGACATGTTACGCCAAGAAGTTTGAAATTAGTAACTCTTTCTATTTCTTCTTCTCCAATAAATAGGGAGGGTGGTTCTTGTATTGAGTTCGTAAAGCATATCCACATATCCTTTGTTTTTTTCGGATTCAGAGCCATTCTGTTATTATCAGCCCATTTCCGTAATTCGTCGATTACTTTTTGCATGGAACTGCATTCACCTCTTTCGACAATCTGGTTCTGAGTGCAATCATCCGCATATTTACATGTATTAGCATCTATTTCTTTAGGAATATTGTCCTCTAAATCATTTATATATACATTAAAGAGCACTGGTGATATGACAGCGCCTTGTGGCACGCCCAAAGGGCAAGGTTGGATGGATGACATGGCTCCTTGTAGGTTGACTTGTTGCGTTCTTCCTGTCAAAAAACTTCGAATCCATTGCCAGAAAGATTTATTAATTTCCATAGATGCTAATTTTTGTAGTAATATATTGTGATTCACCATGTCAAACGCCTTTCGAAAATCTATAAATAATACGTGAACTCCCTTTCTACCTAATTGAGAATTATCTGTTGCATTATACCAATTTTGTGTCATAGATATAAGAGCAGATACAGTAGATCGGCCATGAGTAAAGGCATGTTGGTTAGTCTTTATTTTGAAATCTGATTTATTCAAATGGAGTTGAAGTTTGTCTATTACTTTAGCCATTTGAGGAAGGACAGATATAGGTCTGAAGTCATTTTCAACATTGCTTGGATTATTAACTTTAGCAACTGGAGTTATTAGTGCATGTTTATATTGGCTGGGGTACTTGCATTGTTTTATACTTGTGGTGACTATATTGTGTACGACTGGTGCAAGATTTTCGCAAAAACGTTTAAGTATCCATGCCGGAATTTTGTCATCACCTGTTGCTTTTCTAGGATTTAGGTGCTGTAGACAGCTCTTGACCTGTCCAATAGATGGTAAAGGAGGTTTAATATCCTTAAGCGTTTGGTTGATCAAGTTATCTTCAATTTCGTAGTTGGGTAATTGGTTTAACCAAGGTTTTGTAAAGACTTGTTGTAATTTTTCAGCTAGTTCCAGTACATTTTCATCATAAACATTTCTTTTACATTATTCCGTTATTAATTCCCAACATTAAGAAGATTGATTTATACCATTTTGAGGGTTAGTCGTACGAAAGTCTTTTGCTTTTCGTTTGTAATATGAAATTTTGGCGTTGTTTATAAGTTTTGAGACATCAGAACATAGTTTTCATAACGTGCTTGATTATTACATGAGAAAGCACGTTGTCTGGCTTTGATCTTTGATTTTATAAAGCTTGTCATCCAAGGTTTATCTGAAGTATGCATTCGTACTGTTTTTTCAGGAATAGTTTCATCCATAATACTAAGCATCATTGAGGTAAAAGCATTTACTTTTCATCTACATCTTGTACATTAAAGACCTCCGACCAATCTTCAAGAATAAGTTTTCTGCATAAGACATTTACTTTTCCAGGTGTTAAGAGTCTTACCTTTCTGGGAATTGTTGGTGCTTTTTCTTTCTGTTTTGGCACTAATAGAAGGCAATTGTGATCAGAACGTCCCAATGGTGGTAGATGCTGTGTTGGTTTATACATATCTCGCATATTTGTCAAGACTTGATCCAAAACGTTTTTTCCTCTGGTTGGGTATAGGATAGATTTTTTTAAATTGAAGCAATTACATAGATTAGTCAAGTTTAATTTATTGAAGTCTCCAGCAACTATAATTGCAGAGGATGGACGTTCACATAGCAACTGATCTAAATTTTTGATGAGATATTCAATCATATCATGTTCTTTTTCGGCACTTTGTCCAGGTGGATAATAAATAACGACGATAATAATTGCACTAAATGGGCGAGGCGTTCTTTTAGGTTTAAGCACTAACCATAGCACCTCTTTATCATTGTCTTCATCAAATAACTTACGACTAACAGGTATACTTTGATGTACATAAGTAAGAACTCCTCCGCCAAGGGTGGGTCTGTCTTTGCGAAATATTTTGTATTCATCATTAATCGATATTGCTGTGTCTGGTATATTTGGAGAAAGCCAGGATTCTGTAATCAGTACAACTTCAGGACCATTATTCATGACGACTCCATGTAGTTCATCAATTTTATTAGTTATATGACATGCATTTGTGAGCAAGATTGTTGGGAGAAATGTTTTGACTGGATCATTACTATTAGTTATAATTTCTATACAGTTGCATTTGCCATAATTCGTATTGTATCCCTTATTTATTTTAATATGTTTGATTGGTTTTCTCTGGGTCATACGAACGTCAATGGAGAAGATGTTATCATTGGTTGTGTAATCTGATGCAACTAAGCCACGATGCATTCGATCCATTTTCCTCCCCAGCTTAGCCCCGAAACCAGTCCTATACTGAGAACAAACGTCAACATGCGGTTCAACAGTAGTTATTTTTCGTTCAGTGTTTGATGAACAAAGTGTAGGTATGTTAACCATTCTTTTGCTTTGTTCTTCCTTTTGCAAGATGTCTGACAATCGTAATTCAAAAAAGCTTGTTTGCGAAGATCTTGGTGATGTGAGTGTGTTGGGGGATGATGGTAATACCGAAAAGGGGTACTCTTATCATAAAAAATTGTTTTTCTTTGTACTTTTAGAAGGTGTTTGAGATGGTGGATATTTAATGGCGTTAAATTTGACTTGATAATTACCATCCTTGGTGTTGTTTTGCTTTGAGTTTTGGAAAACAGTAGTAGGACTCGGCAGTTGCTCGATGTTAATTGCTGTAAGCGATGTTAAATTTTGTTTTTGATCAGAAAGGACTTCATGAGTTGTATCAACTGGGTTTGATGACTTCTGTTCCAGATGGATAGTAGCAGCAGAGTTGTTTATCTGGAGTTGTTCCATGCCAGCATGATTTGCAGTATACTTGACATGTTGTTTTTCACGATATTTATTCATTTGCATTGAAAACTTGTCATTGAAATTTTGTTTGTTATTAATTGTAGTATAATTTTGTAGGGTAACGGAACAGTTTTTCGCCTTGGTGTAATTATTTTTGTGTTTGGCACGATATATTTCTAGTTGATCATCAAGAGAGTTAAGCGATTGTAATGGAACAAAATTATTGCAAATTTTAAATTCATGTCTATTGTTTCTAGTTTCAATAGCTCGGTCAGTCTTTTTGTTTTCAAATCTGTTTTTTAACATTAATACATCCGTTCTAAGCTCTTTAATTTCCAATTCAAGTTTGATATTTTTATCCTTTTGTACTTGCAACTCTGTTTGCAATGCCCTTATATCATCTATGAGAATTTGAGCCTTTGCTTCGGAGGGAAAAGATTGGGTATTTTCCAAAGTTTGAAGTGCATCGACTCGGCTTTGAAGAATTTCGATATCAAGTTTAATATCTTCGACACACTCTTTAATGTTAACATTCGACGATTTAGGTGTCATTTCACCTGAGGCTTGGGAAGGAATACGTTGTAAACATCTACAACATACCTTTGTATTAGCTTTAAATTCCTCCAAAGTTGTAGATACACTCATTTGAATTAGACAATATCTTAGTTGATTACCGCTTTCTCCTTGAAACATCAATGTATTCTGTCTACCACAGTACCAACTACAAACCAGATCATTGCTTGAACCGACAAACTTTTTTGAACTACCTCCCGGTGATGACCATTTACCTCGTTGATCAAGGGTATTTTCGAAAAAATCCTGCAGTGTTTTTAAACAATTTTGCCATTTTAATCGTTTTCCATCATAAGCAATACATTTAGAAGCTTTAAAACTATAAATTCTTTCTATATCACAATTAAGATTACATTTATCGCGAGACAATAAAACACAACCTTCCGCCATGTTTGAAAGCGTTCTGGCTTGTTAGCTAGAAGACAAAAGCGGTGGGTCCACGTGGTAGACAGGCAGAACATAGGGGTCCCCGTGCGTTGACGTTTTGCTTTTTGAACAGTTTGACCATAGATTTTACCTTACAGAAGAGTACGGTGCGAAAAGTTTTTGCAATTCTGCGGTGGTAGAAGTTTTCTTTGCCTTTTCTTCTCCACATTCTGAGTCCTCTAACAGTTTCGCTGCTTCTCTTATTAGCCTAGCGGCCTCTTGTCGCATATTAGTTTCGTCCGCTATTGATAAATATTTATGTAGTTATTACAATGGTTATCACACAAAGCTCATGGCGAAATAATAATAACCGCTGTACATAACTATCGCATGTTGCATTACTGTTACGCATATCCGCTGTACATTATCACGGTGTGTTCATATGACTTATGTTCACATCGCCGAATGTCATGTTCGCACGGCCGAATGTCATGTTGGCATTGCCAAATGTCATGTTCGCATCGCCGAATGTCATGTTCGCATCGCCGAATGTCATGTTCAAATTGCCGAATGTCATGTTCGCATCGCCGAATGTCATGTTCAAATTGCCGAATGTCATGTTCATATTGCCGAATGTCATGCTCACATTGCCGAATGTCATGTTTTAATTTTGGCGTGATCAGCCGTCATACACGTGTACTGATACATGGAACGCCGTAACTGGCTCAATATTTAATACGCGCTGCTAGGACGATCACGCTTGGTACACGTGCAATAACTGCTTTACGTAGTTGTTGTGCTATGAACGCTATCCACGGTTTTTTAGGCATTATACGCAGGGCCTTTACATTGTGTTAATGAGCGCGTATTTTTTAGCAGCGGTTAATACATAAAATGATATTTACGGTGGAGTTAGCTATTTTCCGCAAAGTACATACGTAAAACTGGATTAGTTTACAGAGAAATTTGACAGTAAGAGAATAACACCATATTTTATAAGAAAAGATCTCCATAAATTATTTTAAAAAGATGAGCAAGCAAAAGCGAATAAACCACCCAGAGATAAAACAATGAAGAGTCCCAGTGTTTGAAATTCCGCATTCCGTTTTCGAGTGTCGCCTAGAACAAACCCTCACCGTGTAGAAAATGTCAAATAATTCAACCAGTTTTAAAGAACACAGTTCATCATCGAAAATGAGACAAAATGGTCGGAGTAATACGGAATTTTCAAGTGCTGCAACAGACGAAATAGATCAAGTTGCCAACACTAAAGATTTCCTAGCTCTGCTGGCGAGAGAGTTAAGCAGATGATTCTCGGACAAAAAATCAATGTTCAGCGATTGTATAAGAGATGGAGGTTGGAGACATCAAACCAGACCAAACAATATATGGCATGTATAGACTGTAAGCACATCATAACTTTTAATCGGACGAATTTATGGATTCAGTAACAAGACAGACTCTGTTTTTCATATTTTGTGGATGCTGTCAATGAATTTGTCCGCAGTGAAAAAGTGGATACAACTGAATTCATAATTAAAAACGTGGGAACAAATTGTCGACGTGTCATAGCTGGTAAAACCCTCCACAATTACAGAATTTGAGCGCCAATGTTGACATGCACTTAAAAGTATCTTCAGCTTTTTCTTCCAACTTTTGTGCTTCACAGGTAAAACGAACGCTCGACAAACTAAACGAGTCGCATTAATGACGTAATAAGGTCATAATGACAATCAAAATTAAATGTATCAAACTATGCGCGGGAAACACAATTAAGTATCTGCAATCGATAAAACGTTATATTGGACTACATCACTTGGAAAGATTGTCTATTCTAAATGTTATTAAAAAAAATTAGGAGCAAATAACACTGCCCATTGGCCCAAAATAGTTATAAACTTATATTAATGTCGTATGCGTAAATTATTGAAAGTTATAATGCGTAAGTTCATGTTAATTTATCGGTTTAGAGAACGTCATCTCATGCACGTCCAAAAGCTGCCTTGAAAACACGTTGTTCACGATATAATTTTTCAACTAAAATTGTTTTCAATGCATACAATGAATTTAATGTTAATATTTACAAGAAATGTTAAGGACAACTTAGTCAGGAGAAACATTCAAAGTACGCAAGGGCATTGGACAAATACAGAAAGGGTTTGACACTTGACAGTTCATAGTTATTTCAGTGAATAGTAAGCATAAAGCACATTTCTAAATCTCGAACATATTTGATGTGAATACTATCATATTTTTTAAATAAAAGCAGGCGTAAAATCATGCATTCCAACAAGCATGACTAGACTAGCACATAGAAATTCAACTGACATTTACATATGATACAAACTTGAAACAAAAAACTATGCTCCAGGTTCGCTGACATTTCTAAATTCGATGCCTTTCTTATCCTTGTGAAAATCTTATCAATATTCTAATCATATCACACTGCCATTATAGATAACTTACAAACAATTGAAACTTCCCACTAAATGTAAAGATTTTAAATTTTTTCTTTCCAGCTACATTAGGTTATTTCTGGTTTAGCAACTACTTTACATTCCAGACAAAACATACTTGGGAATATAATAAATTTAGTGTGGTGATTGAAGAGAAGTAACTTTATTATCGAGGTAACACAGTGCATGGGCATAGTAGTGTATATCATAATATGTATATTATCAAGACAAATGACAGATAGAAAATATACCTGCAAGGCAGCTTTGTAGTCTCCCAAATGAAAAGCACAATAAGCACTCCAAAGACCATTTCTTTCATCCGCTTTACCAGAATTTCTTGCAAACTAAAGAGATATTCATCATTTTATAACAATGGAATTATCTAATATTTGATGATATGAATTTGTTTCTTAAAGTTGATGGAGTAATCTCATAATCGACCTTGCCTCTTAAGTTCTTATATATTTCAGTCTAGGTCTTCATTAAAAGTAATTGGTTTAGCCTCAACACAAATTCTAAATCTAAATCTGAGAGGTTTAGCCTCAACACAATTATGTCTTATTTCATCATCGACAAAGTCAGATATTTCATGAAAAAATCTATAATATTTTGAAATGTAAATACTACATCCAAAAATAAGATGAAGGATGCTATGTACTGAATATACCGAAGAGCCATTCCATGAAATTTTTTGGTAGCACACATATCTTATTACACATGTGATTACTACAGAGGCAGCCAGTAAGTTGCAGTTTTGGATAATAGGAATGATGTAATGGCTAAGTACAGCCAGTAATCTAATTAAATGTACAGCAGCCTCTTGCACACAAAGTGGATTACTGAGTATTCCCGATACTGTGGCAGTAGTGCATTTTGGGTTGAATTTAGGTCAGAATCAATAGAATTACCAGCCCACAAGTTTGCTCATTTTATGTCGATATTTTGGTGTTTACTCAGAGTAAAAACAATAAATTTCTAAGGAAATGAACAATGCTCAAGATGAAAATTTTACACGGCGCCACTTGTTGGAATACTTTTTAGTTGCTCATTCTAAATTCAAACCATAACACTGTTGGTTAGAAGTTTCTGATGAATATTTCAGGACAAAAATTCTACCAACATATTACATTAGTATTTTTTGGAAATATATCAACACCAATATATTCTGACCGGCTTAGAATCTGCAATTGGCACAATGATGCACAAAATTTAGTGCTTAGGATAAACCTTGTTGCCACATTTAAACAAGACTAAACAAGCTTGATGGGTTATTTGTGTGTAAATCAGATTGTAGCAATCAAACTTTTTTCCTTTTTATGAAGCCATGATCAATTATAAGAATCTTGCCTAAGATCATTTGGTTTCTATCAAGTATAATTATGGCAATGCTTATCTGGAAAGAATTCTTTTCAATGAAATAAAAATGAAATGCAATTTAGCTGATACATTTCTGTAAACAACAAATAAATTCAATCTGTAAAGCATGGCTTGAGTCTCTAAAAAACAGTTTCTATTTAAAAGCATAACACCGAAATGAAACACATAACAAATTCAGGTTGAAAAATTAAATATTTGTTCAAGAAACACCATCTGGCATTGGCAAAATGCTCAATTATTTTTTCTACCAGTAATCATAACTATGACATGAACTTGTACTACATTACAGCTTGAAACTAAATTATCAGCTCATTACACACATCAAAGTAATGTGAAATGCATTTATAATCATACAGGTTTTTGTTTGTAAGACAAAAGTTTTTTGCATTGTTGCTTTTAGAAAACATGATAAACATCATATATACCTCCAGTAAAGTTCGCGCACCAGTGAAATCGCGGTTCTGCAAAAATTCTTCAAGCTCTGGCATCTTTTTCTTTGATTTGCTTTCTCGAGTTGCACCACTAGAACCAGGGCCCATGGCCGGCTTTGTCCTTGATAAGATCTTAACGTACACAAGTGACAAGAGGAGAATTACGTTTCTCAATTCTCCATTTTACGAACACAGTATACGCAAAAGCTGATTTAAAACTTAAAATATAATATATTGCACAAAACTTACCATTCTCTTACGATTAAAAACGTTTTAACTGTTGAAGACCAAAATTGAAATTCGGCTCCCTATTTGCTCTGTCCATTGAGTTTTATAATAACTATTATGGAACTCAATAGCTCTATCGAAGTGGCTTTATCAGTCGCCATGACAAAAAATGTACACACAAACAGTGAACTGTAGTATCAACTGGAGCGATAAGCGGTGAACTCTATAAATAACTGGATCAATAACTCATTGAGTTCTATACATTGAGTTCTATACATTAAGTTCTATAATAACTGGAGCGGCTATCCCAAGCGCGGCCTTACATATCTGATGACGCCAAAAAAATGGCAGATTCATGATGATTCCCTGAAGCAACAGAAGTTTTGGTCTACAAGGCTGTTGCTCTAGATTCAACTTGGAAAGTACCAGTTGGCTACTTCTTGGTTGATGGCCTCACTGCAGAAGTAAAAACCAATATAACCAAGGAGTGCAGTTGCCTGATGTTGGTTTTAAAGGTGCACGTTTTACGTGTGATGGTCCATCCGCTCACCTTACCATGATGAAGTTGTTTGGAGTGAAACTTTCACTTAATGATTTCCAAGCATAATTTTTGCATCCATCTGATTCAATGTTAAAAATTCATGCATTTTTAAATCTTTGACATATGATCAAGCTTGTCAGAGGAGTAATTGATGTATGGGGAACTCTAAAGGATGACAAGGATGGTTTGGTAAGGTGGTAATAATTAGTTGAACTTGAGAAACTGCAGTCTTCAAAAGGCTTGCGACTTGCCAACAAACTAAAGAAAGCTCACATAAACTGGAAGCCATAGAAAATGAAGGTAAATTTAGCAGTGCAAGCACTCAGCTCGAGTGTTGCAGATGCTATAGAATTCTGTGAAGGTAAACTCAAACTTCCAAAGTTTAAAGGGTGTGAACTCTTTTAGTCAAGTTAATTCGAGTATTTGATCGCTTGTTTGACGTTTTGAATGCCAAGAATCCATTTGCTAAAAATTACAAAGCACCAATAAGGTAAGCGAATTATAAGTTGATAAAAACCTTCTTGGATAAAGTAAAGAAGTACATTTTAAATGTAAAAAGTGCTGTCGGAAAGTCGATCTTTTCCCACAAGAGGAAAACAGGATTCCTGGAGTTTCTGTTGTGCATTAAAGCAGTGCAGGAGCTTGCTGAGGATCTTGTTATAAATGAAAATTCTCGCCTTAAATATTTGCTTACTTATAAAAAAGCCAAGATCATTTGGAATTGTTTTTTTCAGCTGTACGAGCGTCAGGTGGTTGGAACAACAACCCAACATCTCAACAGCTTAAACCAGCGTACAAGCAGCTGTTGGTGCAACATAACATTAAAGGAAATCGTGGAAATTGTGTTGCTTCGAATTGGAACCGAAATTCTTAGTAGACTAGAAGATCGGTGTGAGAGTGAACAAATGTCAGCAGATATTTTGATGTAAATACTGCAAAGAAGATATGATCTCGAACTGCGTGTACCAGAACAAACCGATGACGATTACTCCGACACCTTTGTTAGAACTTATGTAAATAAATATTAAATTAATTCGACACTATGAACTTATGGAATACAGGGATAGGAGCTTATGAAAAACCTTTATTAGTTGACTCATGTTAAAAGTCAGTCTTCTTCCGTCGCTGGCTGTGAATGTAAAAGCTTGAAATGTTTATTTGTGATGTAGAATAGTCATATTGGAATAGCAATAAGTAAACTTAAAAATTGTGTGTCGACTGTGCATGCGAATTAGAGAGCATACAGTCCCAAAAACGAATCAGCAGATGCATAACAGCTTTTTGCTAACGCGTTAAAAGAGGAAATTGCTACAACCTCAAACTACATTCAGCTTTCATCTTTCAGAGTACAAGGAAGAAGCAATATCGTATATCGCTGGCTATGTTGCAATAATGGTGGCAGGGAAGATCCATTGTGACGATTGCCTTAATGCTCTGACGTCACCGAAGAGAGAGCACCAGAACTATTTGTGGCATGGAAGAACAAAAGTGGTTTAAAAATACCAACTGACGATCTTCTGAAAATTCTTGAGTAATAATGTTTAGTAAAAAAACATGACCAGCCGACAATTTAAAGAAGTATAATATAAATAAATATTTTATTCATATTTTGCAATCTCAAGATGTCTTGTTTCTTCGGAATTTGTTTTATATTATAATGTTTAGTAACGTTTAAATTTTAGTAGTAACGCTTGAATTTTTGAAAATTAACTTTTGCCTGACAAAATTGCAAACTTTTAGTTTTGAAGGCACACCAACCTACGTCACCCGACAACTTACGCACCGGCATGAATGTTATTGATACTATAATTTACGAACGAAGTGTAATGCATGCATTTACTTATGTATTATCTTTAGTATCATCTCTTACAAATTATAAAACAATGCATGGTTGAAGCATTAAAGATTCAATGTTCTATTTAGTTCTTATTAGTTTTATGAAATGTAATAAAATGTGCTAAAACTGTGCTACTTTTTGAGGTGGTTCCACTTCAGAAAAAACAGAAAAAGCCCGAAGGTAAACACTGATTTGCATGCAAAATTGTTTCCCATTTATACACAATATATACCAACCATCTCCCTCATGACAAATTAACTTTTTCTCATTCATACACACTACATACCAACCCTTTCACTCGTTACAAATTCAACAGCTACCAACTTACAAACTATTTATTTATAAAAAGAAAACAAAGAGGAACCAAGACACATGTACTATTTTAAAGGTCAGGAATGCATGTGCAAAACTATATTTTTATGAGACACGCAAATTATATTTGATGGGACTTTTAACAGCTTTTTTGTTTCTATTGGATGTAGGAAGATGCTATAATTATGGAAAGCCAGGGTACAGTAGCTTTGAGTGCCGGAAAAGTAATAAGAATGAAGGATATAACATTTCTTTCCTCAACATCGAAATAAACTTTTTTTTGTATAGAGTTTAATCGAGCAAGAAAGGTAAGTTTGAGTGATAATATTATTATAATATTAAGTATGCAGCATGCACTTTCTTCGTTTAGAAATATGCGATTTATCTGCAAATTTGAAACTGCAATAAACATAAATCTTTTTTTGTAAATTTAACGGGAAGATGTTGCTACATCTGCCATTAGAATGGCCATGTTGTTAAATATTGTTTAAAAAAAGAAAAGTTGTCGCAGAAAAATGGACTCAAAAAGCGAAACAATCGCACTATAAATTTAACGACAAACTAATTTTTTTAATATATTTCAGTTCTTTCTTCGTCTATCTAATAATCTGAATTGTTTTGTGAGTTTTTTTTCTTAATTTTCATTCAAATAAATTCTGATTTTAAATGTGTAGTTAGACTGAGACATTGAATTACAACAACTCTAGAGATTGCACTAAAGGCAGTATCACATTGGTTAAAATACCTTTGATCTTACCTTGTAAAGAGAACACTCACAACATGTTTAGCACGACTGCAAGAGAGACGATATTTCACAAACATTCATACAAAGCCAACATAGATTACGGTAGTCGTTGTAGTTAAAGGCTTCCTACAAGGGAAACAATAAACTGGGAAATACAGTTCAACTCGCTGATTTCATCGTAGGTTTTACCTTGATTTTCATCAAAAAATTGCTTGCCAAATTCCAAATATACACAGAAATATTCCTCGCTCTTTATTCAGGGGGGAGTGAAAAATTGTAAAATTTTCGGAAAAGCAGTATTTTTCGGTAAATCTCAGCGAACAAATCCTCCATTTTCTTGGCTTCATTCAATACCTAAAGCCGCGCTTGAGATAGCCGCTCCAGTTATTATAGAGCTCGATGCGGTAACTACAACAGATCTGTGAAGCCAAGCAGGATGTTTTTTGAAGGTATGATCCACTGATCTCAACATAAGACTGGATCCAGCATCTAGCACAAAAGTTGAAGACAAACAATAAGAAGCGCCTCCATTACTAAGGGACCAACTTTTGAAAATAAGGAGCAAATATATTGCGGATTTATACAAGAATAATCAAGAATTTTCAACATGTAACTACATGAACATAACTAAAAGATAAATCAGTTTATAGAAGAGCTAAAAATACGATGAATTATAATAAAATAAGATTAAAAAGCAGCGATGTTTGTCATCGGTAACTCTCTGTGGTATGGAAAAACTATGGAAAATAGCCCACAACTGCATGGAAATACCTAGAGTTGTTGGAATCGTAGTTCAGAAGGACAAACTGATTAAATAATCGCATTTACGGTCATAAACTAATCAATCCTTTAAAATTACAAGCCTTTTATACAAGTGAGTTGGACTGAAACCTTGTATGCGTTTTGTATTATACGGCCGATTATTGTTTCCATTATGTTTTCCGTAGTTTTGTAAAAAAATCTTTCGATGGGTGCCTTAGTAACGGCGGCTGTGGCTTCAAAATTTGTTTACTACAAATATACAGTTGCTTGATCCAATCTTTTTTTGAGATTAGTGGTATGATCAGAGCATTGAACTAAAATACATGAAACGCTACCTGTAATACAAAACCCTAATAATTTTTTGAAGCCAAATTTTACTTCCAGACACCCAAGAGTACACCCAGACACGCGTGTGTAATCAATCTTTTTTCAGAATTGAAAAATCTAAACACGCTTGTTTGCATGTAATCTCGTGTGTCTGGGTGTAAGATTTAGCTTCAATTATTTGCTTAAAGTAACGCTCCATGTAATTTAGTTCAATAGATCAGAGCCACTGACCTGTATACTAATAACCAGGACAAGAAATCCACATCCAAATTATTGTATTTTATTAATGAGTTGCTGGGTATCAAAAACATGGATGCCGTCATACCAAATATGGCAAATTTGGGGAAAACGTCATCAGAATGAAAAACAAAAAATTTTCAGCCCACCCACATTTTCACCCAACACTTGTACAATGATTACATAATATAATAGAGAATTCTATATTTCAAGCTGTTTTTGTTGACTGACGTTTTGACAAACTTAGCGGTAGTCATCTTCAGAGTCAAATGAGAAGTAAACGTCAGGTTAGCCGAATTTGTTATCTGGTTCTTACGTCATTGTATCGTGTGTACAGGAAATGTGTATATTCATTGTGAATTAGTGATAAGTAAAATATTTTTAGTTGTGAAGTGTGATTTAGGTGTGTTGTTTT